GGCGGCGGCGGCGGCGGGAGGGTGGCGGGAGGGGGGTTGGGAGGGGCCCGGAGCGCCGGGGCCGGGGGGGCGGTGGTGGGGCTGTTGACGCTGGGCACGGCGGAGGAGGCGGTGGAGAGCAGGGTGCGCCGCGGCTTGCTGGGAGAGGCGCTCGACCTAGCAGTGAGTGTGTTGGTTTGTTTTTGTTGATGTACAGCAGTAGAGAGAGGTGTCACTGTTTCGTGCCAGCGTGTGCCCAGAAAATGGACTCCCTACGCGAAAAGGTGTGTTTGTTACGAAAAACATCTTCGCAAGGGTGAACGCAGACCCTAATCCTAACCCCAAAGTAGCCGATTCTATACCAAATCCCGTAAGTTTGCTTCTTTAAAAATAACTGCGAGACCACTGCCGAAAATTCACTAGCGCTATTCGAATTACAGAATGAGCTGGGAATTTCAGCGTGTGTCCGCTGAACCACCGGCACTATTCCGGACACCGGCACTAAACAGGGACCTCAGCCGCAGTTTTGGCCTACCTGTGTTTAGCGCTCAGTTGGTTGACAGGGGCGTCCTGTTGCCGGCTGGTGAAGTAGTAGTAGTAGTAGTAGTAGTAGTAGTAGTAGTAGTAGTAGTTGGAATGCTGTGTTTCGGCCCTCTCCAAGCGCATGGAGGCGTGTCGAGAAGGAGCCAAACTTGAAGGTCGCTATTTTTATTGAATGAGGATGGTTTCTTTTTCAACTTCATCGTACCAGGTTTGGTGTTTGATTCTGTGGCTGAGAACCTGTTTTCTTACGGTCGAGTTGTTCTTTTCGGGGCTGGACATCTTTTCTCCCTGATTCGGTGCGTTGTTGGTGTGAGGTTGGAGTGTGCTTGTTCTTTTCTTTTGTTCCGGGGCCATTTCATCCGCTCTTGCCTGTGGGTTCATGCCCTTCACCGTGCTTTTTTTTGGCGGTTTTCCTCTCCACTCCCGCGCGAGCACGTACATACTCATACAATCATGGCTCATGGCTCATGGCTCATGGCTCATGGCTCCGACATAAGGGGGTGGCGTGTCAAAGACCCTCGACCCTCGTATCTCGGAGCCCCCTCTACAGTACGGCGCGTCGTGGCTGTCACAAATAGTTTCAACCCTCTTATCCAATTTCGGCCCTCTTGTGTCGGAGCCCCGTCATATTTTGTAAGGTATACCGGAGCTACGACTGTACCTGTAACGCGTTGCTTTTGATTTGGGTTTATTTCATCTTGAAGTCGTCCATCTGTCGTTGTTGAACGTTGGTTCTGTCGATCAATCTCTCGATCGATCCCCACGGCCCCCCGCCACGCCCCAATCAGACGGCCTGTGGGCTGGACGCCGGGGGCGTGAGGGCCGGCCTTTGGCGTAGGGCGGTCGAAGGAGGCTCGTTCTCAGAGGACGACGTCCAACAGCACCTCGCCGGAGTCTCGGACCACAGGTGCGTGCCAGTGTTGTTCCAATGCATGCACACGCCAGTTGATGTTTTTGTTGTTATTGGTGATTGCTGTTGTTGTTGTTGTTGTTGTTGTTGTTGTTGTTGTTGTTGTTGTTTTCATCGTTGTCGTTGCTCTTGCTCTTGTTAGATGTTGCTACTGTTGGTGTTGCACGTGGCGTTGTTGGCGTTACTTCTGGTGGTGGTGATGTTGGTGTGACTTTTTCGCTCTTTTGCTCGGAGAGCGATATCGACGAGCACCTGATTCCAGTCCTCGGGTACTGTACGTCCATGTTGTCGTCTTTTGATTGCATGTGATGTTCAGTTTTTTTTTCGTTGATTCGCCTACAGTCCCCAGGCTTAGATAAGGCCGACGTCCGTTTGTGTGATGATTGGCGTGATGCGGGCAGTAGAGCGGTCAGGAGGTTTTGGTGTTGACCATCAATGGCTGTCGCCGGTAGCGTGTATCTACCCACTGGCGTACGGCAGCGGTGCAAAGGAAGAACGTTCCACTCCAGATTGTAGATTGTACGTAGACCTGCGTGTTTCGGTGAGGCTTCACCGCTTTGCCGTTTTCCTGCTGCCCCCCCCCCCCCCCCCCCCCCCCCCCCCCCCCCCCCCCCCCCCC